TACGTCCTATATATAAAAAAAAACAATAAGTGGGAATACGTCTTATATTCTTAAATAGCGGTACATTGAATAATGGTACATTACTGGAATTAGTCGTAGAAAATGTTATTGGGACCAGGAAAGAAAAACGAGATACTTTATAGCATCCAGGACCATTAGATCCAATTCCAAAGTTAAGTGATTTTCGTCATTATTTTTGGTAAAGCGTGCCCCTTAATTTCGACGATCCACCGGCGAAGTAAAAATGTCAATGATCGCGATGATCTGGGAAATGCAAGGTCATTGTAGCATATTAACTTTGACTAAACTACTAATAACCCCATTCCCCTTATGGTTCTTTTAAAACTAATTAGTGTTTTCTTGCCGGAGGTAGTTACATAGTGACTATAGCGGGTACATATGAGATAAGGAATCGCATTACGTATTTAATCGACAAATCGGTGGTCGACGTAGAAGTTGGTACAACATAGATCATCACTTTTCCGTTATTCTATACGTATTTAGTTTGCAGTATATATATCAGATATTAAACATGCTCCACGATAAGAATAAGCGTAAACGAATCTAAAAAAGGAGATAAGGAAGGTCAAGCAGATTGTCTCCATTAGTGCGTATGTCAAAGGACTTATGTCTTAGGAAGTCGAAATCTCCGCAATCTCCGAGATCGTCGTATGTCTGCCGACTTTGTATAATTGCGTAATCTATATATTATAAATAGGCACTGATCTATCCAAAAAATTTTTTTTCATTTCTCTTCCTTGCATTATCTCACTTCACCGGCAACACAGTGCATAAACCAGATTTTCCATTATATAATAAACAATGTCTTCACACGCTTCTTCACCGGCTTCTACATCCTCTACTTTGACGGAAGAAAGGTCAACTCGAACGATGGCTTATCGACTATTTGCAGAGGCAGGAGAATTTAAGCTTGGATGATGACGATTTATCAATTTTACGTAAAGAAAAAATATCTGGTTTCGACTTTTTTGAGACAACGAGAGAAGAATTCCGCAACTATGGTTTGAAAGCTGGCCCTGCTAAAAGACTTGCGAAGAGTCATTAGAACAAAAATTGCGAAGCTTCTCGTCATATAAAACGCAGGACGAATTAAAAGACGTGCTTTGTAAGTATAAAGTCAACGGAGAGGATATAACGAACATCAAACAATTCAAACCAGGTATGTGATATTTTTTTTCTTGTCATTATTTGGGCGAACCAAGTTCGCTGAAATTTCTTGGCAAAGTGATTGAAGATGGGCTAACATTTTTTCGTAATAGTTCCCGAGAAAATAGATGATAACGATAAAGCCCTTGAACAGTGCATGAACGAAATAATACTACGGTTAACGAATGTAAAATCAACGATAGAGGCTAACGAAGCAACGCGTTGCGAATTTATTTCATCCAATATCAATTGCGAGAAGAATGACTAATAAAGAAATCCATATAGAATTGCAGAGGGATATTTCAGGTGAAGAAGCATCCGGAAGAGTTGATTACGCTATAACTGGGATAGAGGATCTTTTGTGTATCACTGAGGGAAAACCACGAAACGTTAAGATTGGTTACCTTCAAAATATAAAACAACTTGAGAGTTCCTTCCATATGAACAAGAAGAAGCGATCTGCGGACGAAGCATTTAAGGCCGAGGATTACGACTATCTATATGGGATTGTGTCGACTGGTATGAGAAAAAATTTCTATTATGGAGCGGATTCATAGAGCAACTCTTGTCATGATCTTCGTTCTGGCTTTGCTAATTATTTGATTTATTTTTAGGCGCGGATTGGCATTTTATCATGTTCACTTCAGAAGGAATTTTTTTGTACTAGTAATAGTGAATATAAAATAAATCTTACGAAAAAAGCGCTTAAGGGAAATCAGGAAAGTCTGAGGGAAGATATAAAACAGGTAATCAGTATAATCGTAGGGTTATTGAAAGATAGGGTGTTAGCGTGTGATGAACCTGAAAATAAGAAGCGACGCGTACAATAAAAAATTACTAAGAACTAGTGGGTAGATAGCACCCGCTTCACATGTATTTTTTTATATTGTATCAACAAAGCAATCAGGTCTAAATGGTCTTTTTACGATAATTAATTTTTGTATGATGATAATTTTTTCAATTCACTTTTGAACTTATCTATATTTTATTTAAAAAATGGCAAACACAGTCTAAGATTGATTCTTTGAAAGAATTAAATTCGAAGCTCTTAGTCGAGATTACTAACCTTAGAAAGGAGAATGCCTGAACTTGGAAAAAAATTTTCCGAAGTTGAGGCTGAGAACATCGAACTTAAAGTTGAGAACGTAAAATTAAAACAGGCTTTGGAAGAACATGAATCCAGATTTGCGAAACTGGAGCAGAACGATAAAGATGCTGCTGTTGAAAATGCTGAGCTTAAGGCTAGAGTTGCGAAATTAGAACAGAGGCAATCGAAAACCGATGAAAAGAACAACTTTATTATTAAATCAGATGATGATGCCAAAGTAATTGATCCATCTTTAGTTAATAACACTCCAACAAAATGGAAAATTCTAACAATACCGAACAGATAGTGCCACAATGTGATGATACTTCTGCAATTAATATTTCTGATACCACTTCAAATTCTGATATATACCAGGATTCGGTAATCTCCACATCTTCCGCAGAGGCCAAAT